GCATCCTGGGGCATGTTTGCCTGCACAAGGGCCATTTCTATAGATGTTCTTATGGCTTACAGGAGAGGCAGGGGAAAGGGTAAGGAGAGAAAGAAAGGTACATTAGGGAGACACTTTCAGGAGTTTTGCCACCACGTTGCTCTTCTGGCTTAAAACTCCTCAATGTCTTCCCATTATCTACAGTAACCTAACTAGACCATTTCCTAAGCCAACCCCAGGAAGCTGTAGAAGAGGACTCTGAAGCCTCATTCTGGCTCCATGGGAAGGAGTATCATGATTGATTAGCAATGTCTGCTCTGGGCAAGAGAGGGAGGTGGGGCACATGTATGCCATTTATTTGCAGTTTTCTAGAACACAGGGAGCTCCATCTGAGCCAAGAAGTCAGGGTAGCTGGAGGGAACTGGATATGATGATAAAGGCCACTTGTCAGCTATTAATATCAGCCTCTAAATAACAAACAGGTGTCAGTATACCTGCCACCTCTGGTCAACTCTTGGTAGCCACCTGGGCATGGAGATTCATGTCTTTGGAAAGGACATTGTATTTCAGTCGCCCATGTCTGCTGCCAGCCTGTGTTACAGGAGTGGCAGCACAATTCCTTGTCTTTCTTTTTTTTGAATTTTTTTTTTGGTAGATACAGGGTCTTGCTATGTTGCCCAGGCTGGAGTGCAGTGGCACAATCACAGTTCACTGCAGCCTTGAACTCCTGGGCTCAAGTGATCCTCCTGTTTCAGCTTCCTAAGTAGCTGAGACTACAGGCAAGCACCACCATGCCTGGTTAATTTTTAAAGCAATTTTTTTGTGGAGATAAGGTCTCACTATGTTGCCCAGTCTGGTCTCAAACTCCTGGCTTCAAGCGATTCTCCTGCCTTGGCCTCCCAAAGTGCTGAGCCACTGTACCCAGCCTTGACTCCTTGTCTTTCTGACCCTGCTCCAATCTCAGGGGAACTTGGCTCTTTTTCATCATGCCAACCTAAGGACAGGGATAGAATGCCATTTTGGAGTCTGTGGGATTCTAATGGGACAAGGTCACTAGGAGTTGGATCTTTTAGAGAAAGGATACAAATTTCCCAAAAAGACAGAGTATAAACTCTGTAGTGAATATGAAATCTATGCCTTGAGGCCGTTTACTGAGACCCCAGGGTCACAACTTCTGTCAGTGGGAAATCTGAGAGCTCAAGTTTAAATGAGAAAGGTTCCTTTCTTTTTATTCCCCTGTCTGGGCCTGAGGGCCAGGGTGATGATGTGGCCATGAGGAGAGGGCCAGGGAGGCCCTCTTTCAGACTAGACCTTAAGTGAGTGCTAAAAGCAGACTGGGCCAGCAAGTGGGCAGGGCACCAGCAAAGGGGCCTGAAGCCACAGCCACAGAAACACCAGAGGATGCTCATGTGTATGGAAGCTTCTGTGCTGCAGGGCCTCTTAGGAGCCTGCAGCTCTAGGGTTGAGTGATGGGCTGGGGATTCTTGGGTTAGGTATCCCAACTTAATCCTTCCCATCCATGATACTGTTTTCCTTTTACCCTCTGAATGTGTTTTTCCAGGGGCTTCCACCTGGGGGAACCTGAAGCATCACAGTCACTGGGACACAGCAGGGACCCTTCTTGGAATGCCCAGCCCTAGACACACATGTTGGAGGACACACAGGAAATCTACAGAGCACTGAGGCCCCTAATGAAGTGAAAGGAACAGACTGGAAGGGAATGGTTTACAAGGATGCTTTGTAAAACACCTATTAGGTGCCAGGCTCTCACACACATTAGCTGTGAACCCCACAGCAACCCAGCAAGGAGGCCCTAAGTGATAAACAGGGAAGCTGAGTCTCAGAGACACGGAGGAGCGTCCAGGAGATAACTGACACAGCCTTGGCGGCTTTCAGAGGGGCCAATACATGGATCATCTCACTTCATCCTCAGTCCATGGAACTGCTCATCACAAACTAATTGTAGCTACATTTTTTAAAATGCTACATTTTTTTTTCTGGCCACATAGAAGGGCCAGAAATTTGCTCTAAGTTTCCACATTTATTTGGGTTAGAGACATACTATGCTCTATGCATTCATTACTTGTGTGCCGTTAAAAAATCATAAATAGTTTTACTGGGAAAACTGATTGGGAAAAAAATCCTTTGGGACAAGAATATATGAATGCAGCGATTACACAGAATGAATAAACAGCTTACCCACAATTTCTCTTCTGGATAAATATAAAGTCATCAGTTTCAGAACAGTTTTCCCAAGGAGGTAAGATTTGCTTTTTCTCCCCAATGCCTCCTCAAGGCTGGTACATACTTATGCTGAGCCATCCCTGAAAAGGACTCTATATCAAAGATATTTTTCCCTGAGCCAACCCCATTCAGTAGGGATGACATAGTTGAGAAGAACATAGGCTTCAAAACCAGGCGACCCCTGCTCAGGGTCCTAATTTTCCTGTTGCAGTTAACCTTGGGTCATTCAAGTTGCTTCTCTGATCATTAATTTCCTCATCAGGAAAATGGGGATAATAATCCTGAGAATTACATGATGGAATGTATAAAATGCTTAGTATAGACTAAGTGATTAACAAATGGAACTGATTTTTAGAACTGATGGTTCCGGGGTTTTACAAATAAGAGAACTGAAGATCAAAAAGGTGGCTTGCTTAAGGTCATCTGACTAGTGGCAGAGCCAGGACTAAACGCTGATCTGTCCCCCACAAATGTCAGCGTTCCTTCTCCTCTGATGTCCACAGGGCAACTGATATTCACAGTGCTGATCCTGAGTTGTCAAGAAACACACAAATTCCCATTCGCTGACTCTCTGATCGTAGGAAGCATGTAATGTGCTTTAGAAATATTTCCATCCAAAACAGTTCTAAATGTTGTCACCTTTAATAGCAAATGTAAGTTATCTAAAAAAATGCACTGACATGGACCAGTTCCAGAGCCTTCAATGCCCAAGTTCAGAGTCACTATGATCTTCTTCTGCATCGGAACTTACTAGCAACATTAACGTGGTCTTGGAACCACGTCAGTTTTATAAACACTGTTCTTCTCTTGTGGAAAGACAGGATAGTTTAAGGACATTTTCCTTGATATCATTTCATTTTCTATTTAAGTCATGAAAATGGTATTGAATTTGTGTTATATTCACACAAACTACCTTAGGGTTGTAGATTTTTAGTCTGTGCTATAATAGTGTGTCCTGGTAGTGTAAATATTTGTTGGAGAAAGATTAACTAGCAAGGCAGTATATTCAGAATGGCTGCCTCTTTCATTAACCCTGTAAGGAAAGAAACAAAAGATACGCAATTCTGTAAATCACCATTTATAAGCAAGTGGTGGCAATTAAACGTCTAATTGAGCTAGTTTCTTTTTTTTTTTTTTTTGGTCCATTAAAGTTTATATTATTTTTTAAATAACTCTTTTTCTGCCATAACTTTATTTTAAATCTGCATCTTAAACATGTAAGGGCCAGAAATTTGCTCTAAGTTTCCACATTTATTTGGGTTAGAGACACATTATACTCTATGCATTCATTACTTGTGTGCTGTTAAAAAATCATAAATAGTATTACTGGGAAAACTGATTGGGAAATGAATCCTTTGGAACAAAAATATATGAATGCAACGATTACACAGAATAAATAAACAGCTTACCCACAATTTCTCTTCTGGATAAATATAAAGTCATTAGTTTCAGAACAGTTTTCCCAAGGAGGTAAAATTTTGCTTTTTCTCCCTAATGCCTCCTCAAGGCTGGTACATATCTTATGCTGAGCCATCCCTGAAAAGGCAGCTTTAATCAAAACCTGATCTATAAATCACCTTTAAAGCCTTGGTTGTTTGGCTTTATGAGGTCTTAAACACACTTTGCAGGTTCACAAAGACCATAAATCAGATTAGTTCAGTTTCTCTCAAGAAGTGGCTTAATGAAGGTGAGGGGAGTACAGAAGACTTCAACTCCAAAGCCTGGGGACTACACTCCCTAGTTCACAGGATATATATTTTATGGAAAAGGGTAAGATTGTATCACAGTGTCACACCAGAAACTCAAATCCTCGGATCAGAATCAGGGTAGGACTGAGAAGAACCTGCTGGCCACAAACGAGTGGGTTAGAATGGAACTTCTCTCCACGAAGGCAGCACGGGCTTCGATGGGGGTATTTTTCCTGGCTCCCGAACCACATCTGACAGGCCACTGCGGCCCTATTGCACACTGGCGAGGAGGTGCATCAGCCTGGACTTTCTAACAGTTTCCTTTCCAGAACTTTCCCTATGGGCATGGAGACTCTTACCAAATTCGGCTCCATAATACTTGCCCCAAAATTAGAACCCAGGATCATTCTCCACGCCTCCACTGATACGGAAAAATACATGAAAGCGTGGATTAGAGCCTTTGCCACAGATGAGAACAAGATCCAACGGAGACTTGACGTTTCTTTAGAAAGGCTGCCACCAACTGAACTTTTCCCAGAAGTTACATCAGTGCTGACCTTCATCAGTTACATTGAGAAAAAATCTGTTCTATGTGACCGTGGGCCACAGGAGACGGAATTTTAGGCAGTGAACTTGACAAGAAGGACTTTCCAACTTTGATTCAGTTTCAACTCACACTCCCCCAGCCCCTCTGTGGCAGAGAGGCCGAGGCCCCCGAATGAGGTGAGGCTCAGGGAAGCCGGGGTGTCCGAGCGCAGCGCACACTCTCCGGGTGTCTGAGCCCCGAGTCCGGAGCCCCGCAGTGGACTTCCGCGCGGCGCGCACCGAGGCTGCGGTCACCTGCCGCGCGGTCCGGCCCTCCCCGCCGACCCAGGCGCACCCCGGGCGCAGCGCTGCCGAGGAGGGCACCGGCCCGGGTGTCCACGCGGGTCCTCTCGCGGCCGCGGCAGGGCTCGGCCCGACTTCAGCGAGCAGATCCTCCGCCCGCGGCCGGTGACCCGCGCGACGACCCGGCGGCACCGACGATGCTGCACCCCCGCCCCACAGGCGCCGCGGCGGCTGGTCCCAGGAAGCTCCCGCGGTCCTTACCTGGCGAGGCCCGTCCGGGGCGCTCCCGGGGTCCTGGTTGGGCCGGCCCCGAGCCAAGGGCGACCGCGGGTCGCTGGCTGCGGCGTTTCCCGTCTCTGGGGTGCGGGCTCGCGGGGCGCGAGGGGCGCTGCCGAGGCCCCGCTCCGCGGGAGCGGCCGGGCTGCGGCTGTCAGCGCCCCGGCGGCGCGGGCGAGCCCAGGCCAGCAGCCGAGGGGGGCTCTGAGCGGAGCCGCGGCCGCCCTGGCATTTTAAAGGCGAGGCAGCTGGACGCAGTTCAAGCGGAAACGCAGAGAGAAACTTCAGCCCCCGGGGCAGAGGGTTGGCACCGCGGGGAGGGGGCCCAAGAGCTCCTTGCAAGCGCGCAGGCCAATCTGGGCTCTTCTAATACGCTCTTCAAATGCATTTTTTTTTTCAGAGATTCCCTTTACAGTTAAAAAAAAAAAAAAATCCCATAAACAACAACGACAACCAAACCTTCTCAAAGCCTCCTCCTGCAGTAAGCTTATAGCAAGCCAAGCGTTTCGGTTAAAGTTAGGGCAAGGGAAGGGCGGTTTTGGGAAGTCTGGTCAATGCAATTAGACAAGAGAAGGAAATAAGATGTAAAAATACTGAAGTTGTGCCTCTGTTAAAAATAAATATACGTGTGTGTATATGTATGTATATATTATATGTGAAGCGGGAGAAAAATGATTAGTATTTGCAGCGGATGTGACTGTGTAGTTGGAAACTGCTAACTGAAGACTGGGTGAAATAATGGCCTTTCCAAATAATTGGCAGGCTACAAAATAAACATACCAAATTTACAGTGTTCCTGTGCACTTACTAACCAGTTTGAAAGGCAAATAAAAATCCCATTCTCACTAATAGCCAAACCACAGTACCTAGGAAAATCAACTTATCATGAAATGTGGGGAAAAAAATTTCTTCTCTATTGGGGGACTGGAGAAGACTTGAATCTATTATGACACACGCCTTATTCTTGGACAAGAGGAAGTAAATATTGTAATCCTATCGTGTCCTCTTTATCTGTCAATTCAGTGTGATCTCTATCAAATTCCGAGTAGAATTTTTTTTTAACGTGACATGATTCTCGGCGTCGTGTGGAAGAATAAGGAGTACAGGCAACAAAATATTGACAAGGAAGAGCAGAAGGGAAGCTAACCCTGCTGGATAGTAAAAAGAAGAAATGCTTGCACGCATAAATGAATAAATACATAGGTAAAATACATTGAGTGCTTACTATTTAAGGATGTGCTCTACATGGATTAACACATTTTCTTCACAACAACGCTGTGATGCAGCTACTGATGCTGCTGCCGTTTTCAGATAGCAAATGGAAGCCCGATAGCTTATCACGCCCAAGGTCACACAGGTAGGTGTGGGGGATCAGGGGCTTGATGCAGGCCTTCTGCCTGCAGAAACTATGCATCTATGTGCACTCCATCACACAACACCTCCTGTGTCACAAAGCAAACATCAGCATATTACCGGTCCGGACATGACTGTTTAATGGAATGGGATGAAGAGCCCAGAATTAGAATTACATGAGAAACTGTGGTGTTTAAGGGGCACTTCATATTAATCAGATAAACGGTTGTGTTTTTTTTTGAGACAGAGTTCCACTCTTGTTGCCCAGGCTGGAGTGCAATGGTGTGATCTCCGCTCACTGCAACATCTGCCTCCCAGGTTCAAGTGATTCTCCTGCCTCAGCCTCCTGAGTAGCTGGGATTACAGGCATGTGCCACCATATCTGGCTAGTTTTTGTATTTTAGTAGAGATGGGGTTTCACCATGTTGGCCAGGCTGGTCTTGAACTCCTGAGCTCAGGTGATCCACCCATGTCAGCCTCCCAGAGTGCTGGGATTACAAGCATGAGTCACCATGCCTGGCCCAGTAGATAGATTTTTAAATAAATGACACTGGAATAACTAGATAGTCATTAGTGAAAGTGTGGGAAGCTCATTTTCTACTTAGTTTCCCAGACCAAAACAAATTCCAGATCCATCATAAATTGAACATTAAAAAACTGAAGCCAGAAAATAATTAGATGAATATATATAAAATGTCATAAACCTGGAATTCCAAAAGTCTTTAAAAATATATCATAAAACCATAAAGGAAAAGACTGATATCTATGATTACAAAAGATCCAAATAAATGCCTTTATGGAAAAAGATACTGTAAACAGAATTCAAAAATAAACAATAAACTGGAAAAATATTTGCTATGCATGTGAGATAAGGGTGCTAAGTTTAACAAATAGAAATATAAACTAAGTTGAATTTGAATTCAGATAGACTATGAATAATTGTTTAGTATGATTATGTCCCATTCATCGTTCGTCTGAAAGTCAAATTTAACTTGATGTCCTGTATTTTATCTGGCAGGCCTAATATAGCAGCAGCGTTTTAATGTAGATATCTTACAATGAACTCTCATAATCATTTTTTAGAAGGTGATCACCCCAATAGAACAAAGAATAAGAGAGATGAGCAGGCAGTTCACACAGAAAAAAATGTAAATGTCCCAAACGAGAGAAAACAATCATCCTCTCTGGCACTGAAATAAACGCAAATAAAAAAAATTCAGAAAATTGTACTTTTTACCTACTAGCTGGTACATTTTAAAATATTGTACCAATTCAGTGCTGCTGAAGGGTTTGGACAAATGGGCATTCTCTCTCATCTTTTATGATAATGTGATTTAATACAATATTTCTAGAGGACAAATATCAAATTGAATACTTTATGTACAAGCAAATCCATTTTCAACCCATTAGCTAAAGACATCAGCTGACAAGTGGATAAAATATGTTTGTTGCTTTGCAGAAATAATTTATAATAGTAAAAAATTGGAAACAACCCAAATATCTGTCAATAGGGGATTAGTTATTGAAGTATAATTAAATCATAACACTATGCAATGAGACTTACTGTGATGTTTGATGCAGGCATTATTCTTTTTTTCTTTGTTTTTGAGACAGGGTCTCCCTCTGTCACCCAGGCTGGAGTGCGATGGTGTGATCTCAGCTCACTGCAGCCTGCATTTCTTGGACTTAAACAATCCTTCCGCCTCAACTTTCCAAGTAGCTCGGACTACAGGTGCACACCACTACGTTTGGCTAATTTTTGCTTTGTTTTGTTTTGTTTGCTTGTTTTTGGTAGAGACAGGGTTTTGCCATGTTGCCCAGGTTGACCTCAAACTCTTGAGCTCAAGTGATCCTCCCGCCTCAGCCTCCCAAAGTGCTGGGATTACTGGCATGAGCCACAGAGCTGGGCTGATGCAGGAATTATTGTAAGCACTTTCTGTGTATTAACTGGTTTAAACATCAGAAAAAAACAAAACTAAACAAATAAAACAGAAACACTGTAAGAAGGTACTATTAGCATCACCATTTCACAGAAGACAAAACACACAGAACTAAGCCACTTTCTCAAGGTCTTACAGCTGGAATATTGAGGACTAGTATTTAAATCAAGGTGGTGTTGTTCCACAGGCCACATGCTCAGCTGTCGTGCAATGTCGTGTACTGAATGGAATCCCATGATAGCTTATCAGAATAAATGCATCCATAGGGTGGAATACCACATAGGTGTTAAAAATGACAATGTAACTCTGTACTTACTGACACAGAAGATATTCATGACATACTGTTAGGTAAAAAAAGAAAACATTAAAACCACATACATGTATGATTCCATTTCCATGATGTTGAATCTGTTTACATGTGGTTACGTGTATGTATAGGCAGAAATGATCACTGGCATATTAAACAGCCTTTCTTTCTGAGTGATGGGATTTCAGGTGAGTTTTTGTTTTCTTCATTGTACTTTTCTAAATTACTTAGGTTTTGATATTATGAATATATGTTTTTTAAATATTTAGGAAAAGAGGAAAACAAAATCCTGATTGGGGGGGATTCCTATTTTAGGATTCCATGCTCTAGTGGCTTTATATTCCAGGCTTTCTGCAAGTTTGTTACCTCTCCCTTCAAATTCTGACAGCTGAGATAAATACCTAGTTAGGACTCAGCCTGGAGGATCACAGGGGTTCTTAGCAGCAGGTAAGTCCCAAGCATCCCCACGTAGCTCCTGCTGCCTTTGGCTGAATGATGAGGATCTTGCACTGGACTGTGTAAGTGAATCTTGCTGTTCTCAACAGGGCTGCTGAGAACACGGGCAGGTCCCACCGATTCTCTGTGACTAGTGTCTTATCTGTAAAGTTAAATGTGTAAGTTAGGGATCTAATTGCAAAATACAGAAATTATTTAATGCAACTTATACTGGTTTAACAAATAAGGCATATTCTTTGGAAGGTTTAGAGCATCCAGAGAGAGTAAGACAACCAAGGTACAGTCAGAACCAAGATGCAATTTACTCTAAAGAACTGCTGTCATCATCGCCTCTAATGCTTTTCCCTCTATTCCCTGTTTCTGCTTCTGTCTGGCATTAGTTTCATCTGTTTAATTCTACACTGGTTTTCTCTCCTTCTCAATTCATGAAAATATGGCAGTCCCCTGAGTTTTATGTAACATCTTCAGTTACCCAAAGAAATTAATTTTCCTGGTCCTAGGTTTAAGATTTTCAGACCAGGGCTTCATTAACCCAGCTTAGAGGGGGGAATACCTATTCACTGGGGCATCAGTCAGAACAGGCTGGGTTACACTGTAGGAACAAACAGCTCCTAAATCTCAGTGCCTTACAACAACTGAGTTTACCTCTTGCACGTGCTTTATGTCCATTGTGGGCTGGCGGTGGCTTGTCTCCATGTTAGGAAATTTACCTGGGAAGAAGTAATTTACAATTGGAGCATTTTGGTCTCATGGCAGAGGAAAAGAGAAGACACAGGAAACTGTGGGCTAGCTCTTAAAGCTGCTGCCAGAGTAAGTCATGTGGCCAAGTCTAATACCAGTGGGACAGTTTACAGCTCTGCCAGCATGACCATACAGTCAACAATATAGCCTCACACACCAGTTAACTGGTCAAGGGGATGGGATCCTAACTGACATTGATCAACACCACCACTGGATGGAACAGACAGGGATGCCATGTTCTGATATAGCTCTGTGCAGAAAAAGGGGGCAGGAACACTGGGGAGGCAATGGCATCAATCTTGACCAGAGTGATCATTCAGTTAGGACTC